CTCCAGCAGACCAGGGGCACCGGAGCAGCTTACGAATGGGGCTTTCCCCCCCCCGGAGCTCGCAGGTAGCAATCCGCCACCTCGACCTCCGGGGCGAGAGAGCCCCGTTCGTAAGTGCGGATCCGACGTAAGTCGGGGACTGCCTGTAGTGATATTTTCTTAAATTGTCAAACTGAGGGATCAGATCAAATCACTTCCAAATTACATTCCCCTGGGCTGTGTAAAGGTACCCATTGAATTTGGTGTATTTTTTCCTATGGCCCTGAAACACGAATTGTTAATTTTTTATGCTGTCCAATACCATGATGGGATTGTGATCTGTGCTGCTGAACAAATGCATACTAATTTGGGAGTTCATTAAATATTTGTATGGGTAGAATGTAATGAGTTGTTGTGCTCTTGTAATGGAAATCATCAGGCACTGTGCAAGTTTCTCCACTCAGGTTTTTTTTAATTGTATCCTGCCATACCCTTGTGTTTTGACTCTTGTGCCTCCTCTGATCAAAGATTACCATTCCTACTGAATTGGTGTGTATGCATGTGTGAGGTTTGGTATGTGTTGTGCATAAATACCACTAAGGAGGGGATAGATTGAGATCATTTAATTCCTTTCAAAAGGGTCTCCAGAGATTAATGTACTAACTGCAGTGTCCAGTAACATTTTTAAAGCTCTATTTGAAAGCTGTCAAGTTTTTTGGGAAAAAATAATTAGCAAATAGCTCAGTGACTCAGCTTAATGATGCTTCTGCATAAATATGAGTTCGTAAGAATAAATCTAAAGGAAAGTTGCTGGACTTTCAGTGTACTGCAGGCAAAATGAGTTTCCATTACTAATGTTCAGCTAGCCAAGAAATGTGTATGTTCAAAGCTCTTGGCCAGCAAATCTAAGTCAGCTGCTTGTATTCTCAAATGAGTGTGGGTTAGCATTCTGGCATCTAGTTGCTGCTATATGCTAGCTGGTGACCCTTTAATTAAGGTACGTGGATCAGCCTGAGAAACAGCTCCTGTTTAAACAAGTGAAAATTAGCAGATCTGACTTGAGTAAGTGACTAAGAACATTACAAAATAGTATAAAATGTAAACTGTAATTTTAAATACATTATTCACAAGGTCAAAAACAGCTTTGCTTAGACTTTTAGAAATCTTTAGTCTGATCTGTGAAACTAGTGTATTGTTTGACATGGAATCAAGGCAAAGGATATCTGAGTTTGGATTTTGACATCAGGGATTTCAAAATAGTTAAAAATGAATTAGATGTTAAATTTAGATTAACTAATTGAATAGTCAATGAGATTTCCATCGACTATTCAGTTAGTTTATAAGGGTGCCTCCGCCTTTGAACTGTAGCAAGAGCCCCATTATCTCTCTGCTGTGCCTCAGCGTTTGAAATGTACAAGAGCCCTGGCGGATTCCCCCACTGGCCTCACGCTTGCTTCTGCTTTTGAAATGTATAAGAGCCCCGCCAGGGCACTGGTACATTTCAAAGGCTGAGGCGCTGCAGGGAGCTAATGAGGCTCTTATACATTTCAAAAGCAGAATTGCAGCGCAAGCAGAGACTGCTTCAGTCCCTGCTCACACTGTTTCTGCTGTGCCTCTACTTCCCTTGCTCCCTGTGGAGACAGTGCTGAGGGGGAATCAGCTTTCCCAGCACCGGCTCCTGCTCTCCCCCCCTAATGATGATAGTTGCATCATTAATTGACTATCAGATAAGCTTCTGCTTATTGGATAGTGGACTAGTTTCTTATATCCCTAAAATGAATAGCCTCTACAGACAACACTTTCTATAGACAAGAATTAGTGTTTAGAGATCTATACAATCATGAATAGTTTGGTGGGGGGAAGTGAACAGAGAATTCTTATTTACCCTTTCCCACAATACAAAAGCTTTGCGTTGTGAGTCACACAATGAAACACATACAAACAAGAGGAAGTTCTTTATCACAGAATTCGCAGCTAACCTGTGGAATGCATTGCCATGGGATGTTGTTGTGGCCAAAAGTATAACTGGGCTTAAAAAAAAAAGAACTGGGTATGTCCATGGAGGACAGATTCATCACTGACTATGGGATGCAAACCTGCTGATTATCAGAGCATAGAAGTGGGTCACCCCAAAGTTGCCCTGTTCTGTACACTTTTCCTGTAGCTCTGGTATTGGCCATTGTTGGGAGACCAACAAAAAGTCCCGTGGCACTTTAAAGACTTAGATTTTTGGGGGGCATAAGCTTTCATGGGCAGAAACCCACTTGGTCAGATGTCTAGAGTGGAAATTAGAGAAATTATATGAAAAAAGGAAGTTACTTTATCGAGTGCTAATGAGGCCAATTCAGTCAGGACCCACACCCAACAGCTGATGAGTAAGTATCAATCCCAAGAGAGGAAATATTGCTTTGCAGTGAGCCAGACCAGTTCTCATTCAAACCCAAATTAACAGTGTCAAGTTTGTAAATAAACTGCACCTCTGCAATTTCTCCTTGAAGTCTGTTGTTGAAGGGGGCTTTTTTTGTTGTTGAAGAAAGATGACCACTTTTAAATCTGTTACTGAATGTTCAGGGAAATTGAAGTGTTCTCCTACTGGTTTGGGTTTTACCCAATATGGCAGTTCTTAAATTCTTGTTTGTACAGAACTCCTGTTTAGTATGTGCTTTCACTGCACTCATTATCATAGGTTCTGTGATTTCAGAATTCAGATTTTATGGTGAAACCATGCAAAGCTATTGAAGTATTTCATATTTAATCTTTGGACAGATCAAATTCCTCGGCATATACTTAGATATCTATAGAACATCTTTTTTATTTTGTTTTAGTCAAATAACCCAAGGCTGTTGCTACAGTGATCATATTCTGGTCTTAAACTCCAAGGACAAAAGTAGGAAGCATATTAGATCAGGATACAATTACTGAATTAATATTAAGATTTTATAATACTGAAAAATATAAATATCTGAGTAAGAATAAATACTTTGAAATAGCATAGAAACTATTACATGAAGTATATTGTTTAATTTGTAATATAACAATTTAATATTTGCAGTAGTAAAGATTAACTAATTTGGTCCAGATTTTGCATAAGAACTTTTCCCAATGTAATTTTAAATGCATCATGAAAAAAATTCTTGTCTTATGAAATGACCGCTTCCAACCTCACAAGAAATGTAAAGTGTGTGTGGCAGAGGGACTCAATAAAGACAGAAGTAGTTAAAATATTTTTAAGCAAAAATGACATTTTATTGGCTTTTATGTACAATTTTAGCTTTTTTGTTGTCTTTCCTTTTGTTGTGTAATATTTAGCAATTGTGAATATCCTGTCTTCGGTTGGCTAAAGAAGATCCTTAGCTAATCTGAGTTCAGGGATTTTCACAAAACTGGTGGAAAAATGCATTTCCTATTTTCTTTAATAATAAGCATATTATCTTTGCAGGGTTATCTGATTAGTTGTGTGTGGAACTGTTACCGATACATTAACAGTAGAAACAACTCTGATGTGCTGGTGTATATTACCACCAATGACACTGCGGTAAGCATATCTCTTAGATGTGTTTTAATTCTAACCAGTCCTCAATATTGTTGACAGCTTCTGAACTTTAACCCAAATTCTATTGTCTTTGTCCACTAAACTTCCATTATTGACATCCTTGTATCCAAGTTCCAACTCATGAAAGCATGTATGTTGAGAATGCTTGTTACATAGCTCCTAGCAATTATTGTGTGTTGTATATAAAAATACATGTTTGTCCATATAGCCCCACATATACATAATATATATGTTGTGACAGTCAGGTCAGAGGGATACAAAAGAGTGATGAAAGGAAGTATATTAGCTTCAGACTGAATAAATCTCTGTTCCCAGGGTAAACTGGTATGGGCAAGTCCAGAACTGGCATGGGCTCAATTGCCAGAATCCATCAGGGCAATTGAGCACCTGGAGTTAATTTAGTGGGTTTACAGAGTCAAGTGATCTTAGGCCAGTTAGAACAGCTGGGGCCAGTTAAAGAACCAGTTGAGACTAGGTATAAAAAGGCTTCTGTACAGTTAGTGTGTGAGGAACTGAGAGGATGGAGAGAGCGCTGCAGGGAGTTTAGGAGGAAGAAGCACCAGTGGATACTAGGAGGAAGAGCCTGAGAGAAGAAAGGGTGCTGGGGAATTAGACCAGGGATTTTGTAGCTATGTCTCAGCTGGTTTTGGAGACCTTTACAGACTGCTTCTATTATAAGGCACTGGGCTGGAACCTGGAGTGGAGGGTGGGCCTAGGTTCCTCCCGCTCCCCCTACCCCCAAAACCCACTTCCCTATTTCCACTCAAGAGAATGACTGGCTGGGGAAGAGAAAGGGGTTTACCTATCTCTGCATCGTTTGGGGGTCCACCAAGACTGTGGAGCTTGGTTTCTCTTTATACCTTATGCTGGCCAATGCTGAGAGTAGCTCAACAAACAGCAAACTGATGTTCGACATATGGTACCTAAATTGCGGGCTTCTATATATTAAAAAAAAGAGAGAATGTACAGCTGCACTTCTTTCCTGTTTATTACACTAGGTGCAGGATCTATATGATATCTATACCACTGCAAAATGTTAGTTATTTGGTGCTCAGCAACTGCGAAATAGGTATAACAACGTAGGATCTGGCTGGTTTTATATTGTAAGAACACTGAGTAAAATGAAGATTATATGTTGAAAGAAATTAGATAAGTCTACCCCATAAAGGACAGGAAGTTGTCAGTTCTTTCTGCAATGATTTCATGTTTCTGTTGTAAGAAGAACTCTGTGTATTGTTTGATTATTGGAAACACAACTGAATGACTAAACGAAAACAGGTAACTTAACACTGCTGATTCTGCATAGTATGACACTTATGGAAATACTATATATGTGGAACCAAATTCTACTTTTGTAATGAATGTACGCCTAATAGGGAGATATCTCTTTGAGGCTGATAGTGGGGAGATAGGTGTGAGTTGTGTCTGGGTCATTGTTGCTAGGCAGATTTAACACTCCACACCCAGAAGCTTCTGGGTGTAGTGTGGTAGTTTGGAGGTCTGCTCCAATAGGTTCTATCTCTGTTTTGGGGGTCAGACTTCACAAGAGCAAGCAGTCAGGGCAGCTGTTTTACTAAGGGCAGGGCTGTCCCGAGGGGGATGTGGAGCCCCCCCCCCCCACTTCTGCCCTTCCCCTGAGCAGCAGGAGCCAGAAAGATTGAGGGGCCTGACAAAGGGCAGCAGCAGGCGTCAGTCCTCTCTCCTGCACTCGCTGTGACAGCAGGAGCTTGACTGGGGTGAGGTTGACCCTCTGCAATCCTTGCTGAAAATCCTTAGACTTAACTCTGGATCTCCAGCTACTTTTCTATGGGATTTGGGTTTTTAAAGGTACTGGAGAAGGGCAAAAGTGATGTCTAGCCCACCCAAGCTTACACTGTTATATCCAACGTTTCCCACTGAGGTAAATAGTTCAAATTTATCTCTGATGTAATGCCACTGACTTTTATGTGAAGTAGGATTGCAATTTAATCCTTGAAGTTACACTGAGCTCAATTTGGTCTGTTGGGCTTGCATGGGTGGAAGAGAGGGCATATCCCAATAATATTTCAGTATTGCCAACCTCAAATATTCAAAAGATCATGATGTAGACTTCCAAAATGGAAAGTGGTTTAAATATTGTGAGATTTTAAAAAGTTGAGGGAGCAGTTGGTTTTTGGTTTCAGAATCTATAAATGAACTTGACTTTTTTCACGCTTTCCAGTACTGCCATGAGGACTTGAACCTTACTCTGTCTTAACTAGAAGCTGAGATTTTTATACAATTCATTGTCTTTAGGAGCTGGGATTTTAACTTTAAAAAAAAAAAAAAAGAAAAAAAGCAACCCCCCCCCAAATATTGCAGGACCCAGATAAAATCATGAGTTGGCAACACTGATTTGAACATACAGTTATGGGTTTATTGCAAGCTAAATGAAGGGGAGGGAGAAAACTACTTTTTGTACTGGAACCTACATTGAGTAAAACCAGAAGTTCTGCATGAACAAAAATTGATAGCTGTTTGTGAAGCCTTTAGGTAGTTTTAATTCATAATTTAAAATGCTGCAAAATGTGTATTTCACAACACTGACAGCCTTGGTTGCAAGACCCTGCAAACCAAATTAGCATTGACACTATAATCTCACAGGCATTCAGTAACTTAAATTGAAACCATCTGCTTCATCAATGGCCCTTGGGAATCAGAGGATTTCGATTTCCAGTGCTACCTTTTTCTGTTGAAATGATTTAGCCTATAACTTTTCTAGGAAAGAGGAAAGAAAGCATGTTTTGAATTGGCTTAAAAGCAGGATAAAAATTAAATCAAGTGAAATTAAGATACATTTTATACAATAAATTTTAGTCATTATAATAACAAGGTTGATTAGAGGAAGGGGGAGAACTATTTTCTCTGTAAGAGGGCATAATACCTGTTTCTCCATGTGTAGTCATCTTATTGCTGCATTGTCATCAGGATAGCATAGCAGTCCACCTTCTAGTCTTCTAATCATTCACTCCTCCACCAGATTGTCTGCCTTCTTGTGGTGTCGCTTGGGGTAGTATAAAGTGAAATGAAAGTACAGGTTGTACCTCCCTTAACCAGGACTCTCTGGTTTGGCAACGATCGTGGATGTTCCTGTACTACAGAGCCCAAGTATAGGGAGGTTGAACTGTGGGACAGAAGCAGGGGGACGGGGCGGGTGCAGAGACTCAGTTGGGAACCAGGGCACAGCGTGTGGAGGAGTGGGTGGTGCAACAGGGAGTTCTGGCCTCTGCAGCTAGGTGGTAGTGGGGGCCAGCAGTGGCAGCCAGGGAACTCTAGCCCCAGCCACGGAGCTCAGGGGGCCAGCTGTGGCCCTAGCCACTGGGAAGGGTCAGCCTCAGCCCTGGCCGCGGACTTAGCTGGAGCCCTAGCTGAGGGCATCAGGTCAGCGTAGGTCATATTGGGAGGGATCTCCTCTGGTCTGGCAGATCCCCTTGTTCAGCACTGGTCAAGTCCCGAGCATACCAAACAAGGGAGGTCCAACCTGTAGACAAATTTCAGAGTACACGTTTGCGTTCTTGTTTAATGAGAACAGATAGAATCATTTTCAGGTTTTCATGTACTGAGATAATTTGACAGTGTTTGGGTAAATGTAAATAGAATGGCTTCAGTTACAAATGAAAATGACCCTGAAAGTCTCATGCCTAGTTCTTAATAGGTATTTGTCCAGAATTGACATAATTAGCAGTCTCAAATTTCAGAGTACACGTTTGCGTTCTTGTTTAATGAGAACAGATAGAATCATTTTCAGGTTTTCATGTACTGAGATAATTTGACAGTGTTTGGGTAAATGTAAATAGAATGGCTTCAGTTACAAATGAAAATGACCCTGAAAGTCTCATGCCTAGTTCTTAATAGGTATTTGTCCAGAATTGACATAATTAGCAGTCTCTACCCAAAAGAATAAGATCTACAAAACGGCATCTAGAAACAAAACACACAGTGACCATGAAAGGATTTAGATTACTAAGAGTGCTGGATTTTTGAGATAAACTTTGCAGAATCTGGAAGCAGGAGCAAGAACAATTGAGATTGTGTACAGAGCTGACTGTGGGAATAAATATGAGAAAATGAAGGTAAAGCTTTTTACTATCTCAAGGGGGTGGCGGGGGAGAGGACAAGAAGTGACACTGTTGCCAGGAATATTGCCCTGTACACTGGACGAACCATTAAAGATGTTGAGTACTGTGATGCCAGATTTAACACTCCTTTATAAAGTGTGCACTCCCTCAGTACTAGCTCAGCACTGAAAAAAAGCAGTCTCTGAATCTGGCCAAGGTGTGATTCAACTTAAGTTGCACTAGCCTTTTCTGTCCCTCCAGCTTGTTTGCATGCAGAGTGTAATTGCTCCATTATTGTAGCTGACTTCGGTCTGGGTGCAAATTGGGGAAGATGGGAAGAGAGAATTAAAATTAGTACAGGAAATTTTCTTCTACTCGAGTAGCCATAATCTAACCCTAAAAATGGCTGCATCCGTGTAATATGTATGCTTATGCATTTTCTTGGACTGCTGAATGAATTGTTTACTTCATGGAATTAATATCTATTGTGACAGAAATGTATAAATCTTATGCTGTTTTCTTAAACAAATCCCTTGCTGTTCTAGAAATGATGAGTCTCTTAAATGATGATTTTATAAAAAAAAAATGTACTAATGTGCCTTGGCACAGAGTATTTTGTATCAGGGAGGCCTAGTTTTTCATTCCCTTTAGTCTGAATGATCTCTGAGCCATATTGCTTCCAGTTATTCCATCTGCAATTCTTCCCATGTGGTTTCTAATGGAAGTGTGTGCTTATAAATATTATGAAGCTTCCTGTCTGTGTAGTGAGGGAGGATCCCTGGGATTTGTTTGATAGATACCATATCGTGAAACACTTAAACAAATGGAACTTAACCAATGAGGCTCAGCTAGACTGTTGAAACAAAGTCCTCTCTGAAGAAAACACAGAGGAATATTTCACTTTAA